TTGTGGGGGGGGGGGGGGAGTGAGCAAAAATAGTTTTCTGAACCAAAAGTTAATGCATGAAATGTTTTTTTGGGGGGGAAATAAACATAACAAATTCACAAGCAGTGAAAGCTAAGATTTGTTTCCTGTTTTATTCTGCACGGTAGCAATCAGCTATTTCAAAGTCAAGTGCCAAATAATTTAATGCCTCAAATATTTTTTTGCCAAAGGATAACTTGTATAACTTTAAGGCATGTGACAGGAACTGCGAGCTTCTAATCAGAAGGGATTCTAAATATTGCACAAAAATCATTCCAACAAACATGTTCAAGAGACTTAAAATGTCAGTTGTCCCTAGATTTTTTTGAGAGAGAAGTTTCAAGAGAGGGGAGGTTTCTGATTTTAATATTATTGGGCTGCAAAGTTTAGGAGCTATTTAGGGATTTGGATTAAGTGCTGAATAACTAGAGAAAGTGAGTAGGGAACCATTATTTACTATGCTTCATAATACAAGAACTAGGGGACACCTCATGAAATAGTCAGGTGTCAGGTTTAAAACAAATTCAGTGCCACAAGACATTATGAAGGACAGTGGCATAACTGGCTCCAAAGCGGGACTAGATAAATTAATGGAATTCTGTCAGAGGCTATTATACATGACAGGGCTGTAGCCAATTGTTGGTGACTGGAAGAAAATGACAAGAGTATGGCATTCCACCCAAGCCATGTTTCTTATTCCATTCTGAAGAATCTACTACTTGTCACTCTCAGGAACAGGATTGTGGGCTACTTTCACTCTTGCTTGATACAGTATGGTAGTACTTATGATAATCAGCATTAAAGATACTTGCACATCTATTGTGGAAAATAAATGGTTCCAAGAGTCTACACAGGTAATTACAGAATTCTACTTCTGTAGAATTCTGCATTTTTACAACCATGCTACCCCAGGCAGTTTAAAAGATATTCAGAGTCACTCCTTCAGAATCCTATGTTGTTTCCATATCTCTTCCCAGCTTCACCCCTATTTAATTCTGCAGACACTGCAATTTGAAGGAGGGCTTCAGAAGATGTCAATATTTTCAAATGGGGAGCCTAATATCAGGTAAATCTATACTGAAGTGCTTTAATTAGTTTATTTTTAGAGATGCTAAGCTATTTTAGGCTTCCACACTTCATTTGTTATAGCAAAATTTAGATTTTTTGGCCTAAGCCCTCAGCTTCTAGCCAAGTCAGTGGTTAGGCCTATAGAAGATGTTGGCTTCAAGCAGCATGGAAATTCTGTCAAGCCTGCTTTCTGCAAAACAAAGAGTCCTTGAGGTTCTGTGCTGGACAGGTTCTTAAGGGGAGGGTCATTTTTGAGGCAATAGATAAGTTTGGAAGAAACTACCCATTACAGTATTACTTAAATGATAAATGTCTTTTTGGCCAACACAAAAATATCCAGGGGGAATTTTCATCTGCCTTGAACTCATCCACTCTTTCAGTTAAATGGAGAAACTGAAATGTTTTCCACAGGTTCTTTTTTCAGCAAAATGTTATGATTTCCGATTTTTCAAGGAAAAATGGAAAGAGTTTGTTGAAAATTTAGGGAAAAATTAACTATTAGCTACAAAAAAATTAGTAAGTCTTGCAACTAAGAATCTTAAGGGCACTATCTGGAGCCCTGCTGAACCCTGCAAAGTCCCCAGCCAGGAGGACTCCTTCTCCCAGGGTGGTAAATACAGAAATGAGGTGCAGCAACATCCTTGTTCCACCTGTGCTTCAGGAGGGATGAGAAAGTGTGGAAGTACTTGCTATATGGAAGAACCTTGAAGCAGGTACGTTGAATCAAAGCTCACATAATGTTGGACGCTATCAGTCTCCACTATTTTTTCCGTTATAATAGGAAGAAAAAATCTTCCACTGCCATTTACAGAGCTTTGACATTGCATCATTTCATTTAGTACAGCTTCAGAACAACCAGCTCTGAAAACCAAAGGTCTCTGTGCAGTGCTATTACTCATTCTCCAAAACAAAGTAGGAGTGAGTCCAGTTGTAATGAGCATGGGAGATATCCATGAGAACTATCTGTGACTTTAAGAGAGGGGATCTTTTTTTCTCTTTAATGATCCAATCCACTAGCAAAGAGTAGGGTCCAGGGTCTTAGTAGAGGGCTGTTGTTCAGATGAAACACAGAAGGGAGATTCGAATAACTTGTGATCTCACTGCACCCTAAATCAAAAGCAGTAGTATTCCTGAAGTCCTGGCTAAATTCCAGTTCTGTCAACAGAATCTTCCTTCTACAGTTTCAGTTGGGTGTGATATTCTTCACTCTGTCCTCAGCTGGTGTGGGCTGTTGCCACATGGTGTTGAACAGCACTAAGTTGTGCACCACAAGTGCTTATATCTCTGGTGGGTGAAGCCATTTCTTCCCACCTGCAGATTGTATTGCACTTGGGACTGGTTAGGCTAATAACAAACATGACATGTAAAATATTCTCCTCACCACGTGTGTGGCATCAGATCCACAGAAAAGCCTAATCCCAGCTAAGAGCACTGACATGGCTTCTTTATTTTTGTCTCTGGGTTTTTATAAAAGTGTTTTTAACAGTACTGATCCAGCTTCTTTCTCTTATCATTTCTGTTTCCCTCCCCGCTCAGTATTTAATTGCAAGGATCATGATTACTCCCATGAAGAGAAGGTGACATTGCATTGAAGCCGATGCCTCACTTGTTGCATCTGTAGTATGACAGAGAGGAACGAGAGCAGATGGGCAGCAAAATGCTACAGCGGCTATCCACATGTTTTTCCCTATTGTGAGAGGCTGGGGAAGAGAAACTGCACATCTTGCTTATCACATACATTCATGTAATTTATAGAAGGGGCTATTTATAAACCTGAAGTGAAAAGTGGGAAGTTTGTTCAAAAACAAAAAGCAAAGCATTGCTCAGGGGTAAGCGGGGAGGGGACAGTTACAAAAGTGCTTCAGTAAAGGCATAAATCTCATTTTTTCAAAAGGGAGTTGGCGAATTTAGGATTTAGATTGACAAAAGGACTTAAGGCAGGATTCTGTTTCCCATTGTGTGCTGACGTGCCAGTCTAGCTACGTACCCGGGTGTTTTTGGCACTGACTCCTGACAAGAACTATGAGCTTCTCGGACTGAGCATGCAGAGCAGGCTCAGCAGTGGCCAGTCGTGTATTAATCTAGGAGAAGAAGGGAAGGGAGAAGGAGAGCCCTGCCCTGAGTGGTAAGAGCACTTGCCTGGGAGACAAGGCTCTAGTTCCCTGCTTTCCCCAGAGAAGACTGGAACCTGCATCACTCTTCCTCCCAAGTACAGTGTTTGTCCCATGGCACCACAAGTTATGCATGATCTAAACAGCCTCTCCAGTGCTCTTTTTGAAACTGACCCCTTGGACTGCAAGGAGAGGGAGAGTTATGGGGCCAGGAGCTGTATTTTGTGTGGCTTAGTGTGATGGCTGCTGTTTTAGCAGAGAGTAAGCTCTGGGCTCTAACTTGGACCCTTCTCCCAGTGAAGCAGAAACTTCTCTGCCCTGCTCTTTATGTAATGAATAGTAAATGCAAGGTTCAGTGTGTGCCACTTTTTTGGCAGGGATGCTAGGAGGGGGGCACTCTGATCTCTCCCCTGCTCAATCTTGCTCTGCTTTCTCCTCCCTGTCTGGTGCTCCCTGCACTATCTGCTGTCATGTTCCCTTTTCCTTCCCCAATCTGCTGTGTGCTACATAGGCTTCCTGTGCTGTGGGTTGGCCACCCCTGGGACACTGTCTGACCTGTAGCGTGGTAGGAGGAGCACTGTGTTAGGAAACTGAAGATAAAGTGGAAATCCCACCCTGGGTAAGTGGGGGAGCTAGAACCCAAGAGGGATATTACAAAGGCTACCTAACTCTGACGTGGCATTCTGCATCCCTGGGTCTCGCATTGTTGCAGAGGAAAGTATCAGGAGCACCCTCCCTATGTGGCTGAGGGACAGAGAGGAATAACTGCTCTGGGGCCTGCAGTAGGCAAGTATACTGTACTGTAGCCTCTTGGGAAGCTGCTTCTCAGGGTGAAGGACCCCAATATTCATCCTGTCACATTTTCATTCTGTCATTAACAGCTTGAATTGTTGATGAGTCAAGACCAAACTGCTAGAAGCAGAATTCATCATTTTGGGAGAACCAAAATCCCTGAGCAAAGACTACAGATACAACCCACAGAAAGCTTATAAAGTGTTCACATTTTTTAACATGCTCTCCTAACTTGTGAGACAGAATCTCCCTGTCCAGGCTTATCCCAGAAATTGATGAGAAAGAAACAAAGATTGAAGTCCTCCCCAACTAGGATAGGAAGAACAGGACCATGTCCAGGAAATGTGGAAACCAATGTCCTGCACTGGCCTAACTTGTTAATTCTGTTTGTGTTCCATTTATTGCCAGGAGCAGTGTTCTGGCTGGGGTGGACTAGCAGGGGTGCTGTTCTATGAATGCAGGATACATGACATTTTCCATCAACAACAAGTTTGCATTTTGATATGCAGGTTCCTTTTGCACACTCACAAAGCTGCCTACGTCTTAGCTTGGGTGCTGGCCTGAGGTACCAGACTAGCCCCTTTCAAGGTCACTTATTTCTCTCTCATATTAAATACAATGATGAGGAGTCACATGTCACTACCAGAGCAGCTGCACCCCCAGCTGCCTGAAGCTAGACTTCCAGAAGAGAGGCAGCACAATCCACCATCATCACTAATTCCCAAACCTCTTAACTCCCCCCAAAACACTTCCTCTATAGAATGTGTTCCTTGCATAAGGGGATCACTCTGAAAAACTGCTTCCTTTGAAACCTCCTGGAAGATCCTCATTCACAACAGCTCGCAGGACCTGGAGAATCAAAGATGGCTGCTGCAGCGGGAAACAAGACAGAACAGGCTACCTAGAAGAGAAAGACAGAACAGCCTCTTTGACCAGAGATG